GAGTGGAAAGATCTATTCAGAAAAACACCGTGGTTGGTATGTTTGGAAGAAAGATGAGGCCGTGAAACCAGATACAGCTGGAGCCAGGGCAATCAAAGAGAGAAGAATTCCTCTGTTTTAGAAATGGATAAGATTACTCATGAAGCAATGTAAAAATCCTAAATTAGTTATTAACAAATAGAATCCAGCAGTACCTTCAATGATAAAGATCTATTCTAAGAACAAAGGAAAGTTCAATGCAAAGAAGATTCAATATCAGGAAATATGTTCATATAGTTCAATGTGTTATACAGCTATGGAGCCACAAATCTGATCATCTCCTTAACTGCTGAAGGGTACTCTGGTAAACTTCAACATCTAATAATTGGGTACTTTTTACCATAATAAAATTTTCCATCTCAGGCACAAAGCCTGCATCTTGTTTAATGGGAAACATTGGTATGACCACAAAAGTCAGGAACATGTCAAGGAGGACTACTGTCATGGTGACTATTTAACATTCTTCCAGATACTAGCCATAATAAACTAACAGGGAAGGAAATTGGAAGTTTTTTAGAAAATTTGGGAGAAGGAGGTAAAATGATCATTTTCAGCCATACAAAGAACATCTACAAATCAATATGAAGATGATCAACAACAGAATTTAAACATGAGCAACAAATATATAACACAGGTATTAATAAAAACTTGACAATTTTTTAACACGTGAAAAACCATTCGACCACATTCATATTGACTAATACACATGAACATCACAGTAAGATACCATTTTTCCCTGATCAGATTGGCAGATAAAATCATGAGCAAGTATATGGGGAAACTACTAAAAGTCTGGTATAAGTAATATGGTTAAAATTTTTACCGTGGGCAATTCAGTAATAACTATCAAAATTACAAAGGCATGCACCAATTGTCCAGCAATTCTACTTCTAGGAACCCATTCAGGTGATCCAATTATTTATTGCTGTATAACAAATCACTCCAAAACTCAGTGGCATAAGACAACAATTTTATTGTGCTTACGATTTCGTGCGTCAGGAATTCAGGCAGAGCACAGAGGGTGCGGCTTGCCTCTGCCCCATGCAGACTGGGGCTTTGGCTGGAGTGGCTCAACCAGCTGCCGACGGCTGGGGCGCTAGACAAGAGCCACATGTCCGTGCTCCCTGGTTGTCAGCTGTGTTCCTAGGTTCTTCTCCATTTGCAGCTGCTGGGGCTGGAATGTCCAAGCCGGCTTCTTAACTCCTTCTCCGACGACCACACTCTTCTCCTGGTGGTTCTGATTCCCTAGTTCATCATAACAACGTAAAGTCAGAGGAATTTAGAGAGATGATTGGTCAGCTTCATTCACTGAGAGAGGAGGGAGATCAAAGAGCAGTCACGGTGGCTGTTCAGTGGGGGGAGAGCGGGAGAGGGTGAACGGGCAGAGGAGAGGGTGGAACAATCCGTGGCTGAGGCTCATCCCTGTCCAATTCCAAGGAACCAGGAAGTGTCTTTACATCATGGAACCAGAGGGCACATGGTGCACCTGGTGCCCCGGCTCCAGAAGAGACGATTGTGACCCATGATCTGGAATCATAGACAAAGCAATGTGATGGAATAAAACTTAAAATGGGCATCTCCGTGTTCCCTTACTTGCAAACAAACACCGCTTGCGGATGTAGCACTGTGCTGGTAATCACATCTTTTAGTGGGATGCTTCTGTTATTTCTTCTGTGAAGGACCTTTTCCTCCAGTTGCTGGGGGTGCTGCCAACGTCACACTTGTCTGGAAATTGGCTTCTGCTGAGGAGAGATGCCTTACGTAAGGTCAAGTGTCCTACCCAGGGGAAGCTTACATCCAATAACTGGTCAATGGGATTAAGCCCGGCCCGCTCACCTTCACTCAAAGGTCCATCCAAACTTTAGGTCTCCTGTAGAGGGGACATTTGTGGTAACGCCATCTCAGTCGCACTCCCCCTGCCTAATCCTGTCTTTCCTTCTCCTGCAAGTGTTACTCCTGAGGGGACTTCTTCATAAATGTCCTGAATTCCTATCTCCATCTCGACAGTCTGCATTCCTTGGAGCCCAACCTTTTATATGCACACACATACACATCATCTATGTTGGGAAACTTATTAACATAATCTACAATTCTAATAGGTTAAAAGAAAAACTCATGGAATTATTTTAATCAACATTAAAAGAGACAATTTTCCAAATTTACACCTCAGATAAATGGCGTTAAGGAAAAAGTCTAAACATAGTGTGCTACCTTGATCTCTAAACAAACTGATTAAAGGGCAAAAACCAGCATCAGTGTTAATGATATTAGATACCCTAAAATTAAAGTAAAAAATAGAAGCACAACATTAGTTCACTTTTTAAAGGTAGCGACCAATGTAATTATACAAGAAAAAACAATACAGGGTATATTTTTGGAAATAGGGGAGTAAAATATCATTACTTGCATCTGATCTATGACAAACCTAGAAACCCCAAAAGAATCAAAAGGAAGTGAAAAACTATTTTTCTACATGAAAAAAAGACATAATACTCTAATGAAGGACATAGAAACTGCCAGATGTTTTCCCAAAATGTAACGTTTTACACTCTCACCAACAGTGCAGTTTTGGTTCTTCAACATCCTTACTTGCTGTCTGTCTTTATTTTTTGTCCCCTCCCCCAATTTTATTGAGTTACAATTGACGAATAAAACCATATATATTTAAAGTGTACAAGATGATGATTTGATATATGTACACTCTGTGAAATGATTATTAGAGTGAAATTAACGAACATATCCACCGCCTTGCGGAGTCGCCTTATTTGTGTGTGTGGTGAGAACAGGACAGATGTGCTGACTTCACAAGTTTCACGTGTGAGGTACAGGATTCTAACTGTAGTCACCCTGCTCACAGTGCATCCCCAGAGCTAGCTCACTCATAACTGAAAGCTTTTACCCTCTGACCATCACCTCCCCACCTTCCTAAACGTCCAGACCCTGGGAATCACCACTCTACTCTCTGTTCTAGGAGTTCCATGTCTTTTCTTTAGATCCCACATATAAGTGAGATTACACACTATCTGTCTTTCTCTGTCTGACTTATTTCACGTAGCATAATGCCCCAAGCTTCACCCATGTTGTTGCAAAAGGCCAGATATCCTTCTTTCTCATGGCTGAATAACATTCCGTTATTTTCACCTACCACCTCTTCTTTATCCATTCACCCATTGACAGACACTTAGGTTGTTTCCACGTCTTGGCTATTGTCAATAACGCTGCAATGAACACGGAAGGGCAGGCATTTCATCAAGATACTGGGTTCATTTCCCTTGTATCTATACCCTGAAGAGGGATGGCTAGATCATATGGGAGGCCCACTTTTAATTTTCTAAGGAACCTCCACATCATTTTCCATAGTGGCTGTACCAATTTACACTCCCACCAACAGTGTGAATTCTCCACATCCTCGCCAACACTTGTTATCTCTTGTCTTTTGGATGATAGCAATCCTAGCAGGTGTGAGGTGATATTTCCTCGTGATTTTGACTTGCATTTCCTGAATAACTAGTGATGTTGAGCACCTTTTCACGTATCTATTGGTTATTTGTATGACTTCTTTGAAAAAATATCAATTCAGATCCTTTGCCCAGTTTTTAATCGGGTTATTTTCAGGGAGACTTATATTATCCAGTAGCTTTCTTTTATACACCAAAAAAAGCTTTTTGGTATTCAGAAAAACAATGTTTTAAGCTTTTTTAATTCTGAAATGATAGTTTTTCTTATAGATACGTGCTTTACTGAATTTTGAATATAATTTAGAAAATTGGTAGGCTTTGGGTTTGACGTATATTGCATTACATTTGTCTTACATATAAACGATATGAAATAGGTCCTTGTGAGTGTTTTGACCCAGAATGTTCTAACATTAGGAACAGACTATTGATATTAAGCAGGAGTTGCCCATATTGCATGGCTCTTTAAGCACACTTAAGAGACTGCAAAGTGAAGGATCTGGAAAAATACAGCACAAAACGCTCATCGTGTGTGACACGGTAGTGGCATTCACCTGGGCCCCGTGGCTCCACGGCGTTGCCCAGCCTCCTTATCACGAGGTCAGGGCCATGTGATGATTCCTCCTCAGTGGTCTGGAGAGAGAGAACGTGCATCACTCCTGTTCTGGGATAGTTAAAGGCCGTGTACATTTCATAGTCTCTTTCCCTCTGCTGTACTGATTGTCATATAAATAGGAAAAAGAGCGTTTGAATGATTTCAACTTTAACTCTTGGGTTGTTCATCCTGATTGTGGACACTCCAGCTTGTTATTGTGGACACTGCCTAGATCATTGCTCCCTGGGGTGTGTTCCCTGAAATCACAGAGCCGGACAGGAAAGAAAGGCAGGGATCCAGCGAAGCCACGAGTGAGCTATTTCAAGATGCTTTGATGGTCACTGATGTTACTCTCGGTCTGATTTGGACAACATGGGTTTCTCTCGGGGTCTCCTGTCTCTATCCTTCTTCCCCTGTATGGTGCGCTGTCAGAGGTGCCCCCCCAATGCTCTTTCTCCTTCCCCAGTGGCACTTGACTTCAAAGCCATCATGGCCACCAGTGTGAATGAGGTTGGCCTTCTCAGGGGGCCCTGCATTTAGGCAAACTTGTAACTGTGAGGACACAGCCGGGTGGGAAGGAATCAAACTACCCATTTCCTGGTGTCCCTGCCTTGCTATCCTGTCCAGTCGAAATCATTCAAACAAGAGCTTTTCCCTACTGACAGGAAGAGACAGGTGGCCCACACGATAGCGAATGACTACGGATCAGATTTTCCCATTCCAACTGCCTATTTTGTATATGTGGCATAAATGAGAATTTCAGACGCCGGCACGTGGTGGAGCTCTTTTGCAAGAGGAAGCTCAGAGGAGATTACAGAGAGGAAGAAAACAGACTGGGGTTTTTCTTTTCTTTTCTTTTTCTCTTCGCCCTGAGCCGGCAAGTCACAGGTTTGGACGGGGAGCCCTCTGTTCCTTTGGCCAGTAAATCGGTAAGCCCATATTCAAGAAACACCGTTCAGTGTTGATTTCTAGTTCCCAAGCTATGTTCAAAAAAAATTTGTCACGAAGAAATTTGCCCTATTTTAAGGGAAACGATTTAGAGTGACTGCCTTTGGCTTAAAGGAAGCCAGCTTACAGAACTGAGAACTTCCCATCGCGCAGTTTACACATCTCTGGCAAAGAGAGTTTCCTTAGCATAAAGCCAATGAAAAGTGCTAACTGGAAGAATTTGGGCTTTCTCATGTGGGTATCGGTTTTCTGTGCCTTGTTGCTTTGGTACATGCTGCCGGATTTAAGGAAGAGAAAAAGCGATTGGATGAACATGAACCGATGCTCCTCACTGCCCAGGACAGGAAACTAGGTCGCAGGGCTGCTTCCTGGTGGCAGCTGAGGGAGGAGGAATATTCAGGTAATTGACAGATCACATGAAGTGTATTTCTGGCTTAAAGGACAGTGTGCTTTTCCAGAGTCGTGCTCCTAACTCCTTGAGTGTCTCCGCAAGGACTGAAAATGAAGGCAAGGGGTTTGGAAAGGGTGGAGAAGTGGAAGGAAGGGAGCAAGGTGGGGAAAGAAGGAGAGGAGGAGGAGGAGACAATCTCAGAAGCGGGGAGAGCACACTTAGACAGGAAGGTGAGAGAAGTAAAGGGGTGAGGCCAAGAGAAGGGGCAGGGAGGCCAGTGAGTGGAAGGGAGGAAGGAAGCAAGAGAAGAGGTGGGCATGGAGGTAAGAAGCAGGGGGCTTCTCCACTCCCAGGGTGACTAGGGGCAAGTGACTGGATTTCTCTGTAACAGAGGATGGTAATTCTTCTCCAGCAAGTTGGCGGCTACGTGCAAACAAGTGAAGCACGGTGTGAAAGTGCTCTCGGAGTACAAGGGCCTTTCACCATAAAGAACCGAAAGGTAATGGTTTTTTATTGGTCTCTGGTGTCTGTCCCTCAGGAGCAGCAATGGACCAACGTGAACACCATCACTCAGGTGAGACAGTGACTTCCCGTGTGCCTATTTCACCATATTGTGTGCCTATTTTACATAGAAGTCATGCTGTCCTCTCTAAGCAAAGCATGGGCCATCAGCTGCTCCTTCACTCAGGAGAGGAATTTTGCACTGCTCTTTCCAGTATTTTCCTGCTCCAGCCATTTTGTTGGTGGTCATGACCACAGCCCTGCCCAGCTGAGGTCAGAGGCGCCAGCTCTGGCCTCAGAGCAGAGTCAGGTTACTTAATCCACCCGGAGATGGAGCCACAGTCTTGGCCTCACATCTCTGATCTTCAGAAAATTTGTCTTTTAGAGGGCCAGAGCGCAGCGATTCAGGCAAGCCTTACGTGACAAGCTATGTCTCCAAATTCATCTTGATACCCACGTACGCTTGCCTGGGATCCAACATGGCAATACCCTGCAGTCCTAGAAAATCGAGATGCTTTAAAACCCATAGTTTATTTATTTTATTTGCTGATGAAGCTTTGAGTTCATAAGTACAATATATTGTGAGAGGTCTTTTCCCATAATGTTAGAATAAGTCCTTATCGTTAAAAACATTCCATTGGAGTGATCAATAGAGTAATAACACAGCAAACTTGCTCTTAACAGGACCACATGGGAAGAACCAACTTGCCAGAGGATCAGAGCTGAGGATCATTCTGGTGGGCAAAACGGGCACTGGCAAAAGTGCCACTGGGAACAGCATCCTTGGGAAGCAAGCGTTTGAGTCGCGGCTGGGTGCCCGGACCCTGACCAAGACTTGCAGTCAAAGTCGGGGAGGCTGGGGAGAGAGGGAGATGGTCGTTATTGACACGCCAGATATGTTTTCTGGGAAGGACCACGCTGACTCCCTGTACAAGGAGGTCCAGAGATGCTATTCGCTCTCTGCCCCAGGACCCCATGTGCTGCTCCTGGTGACGCAGCTGGGCCGATTCACCACCCAGGACCAGCAGGCTGCGCAGAGGGTGAGGGAGATCTTTGGAGACGATGCCATGAGACACACAATTGTCCTCTTCACCCACAAGGAAGACCTGGAGGGAGGGTCCTTGGTAGACTACATCCACGACTCAGAGAACAAAGCCCTAAGCAAGCTGGTGGCAGCGTGTGGGGGGCGAGTGTGTGCCTTCAATAACCGTGCTAAAGGCAGTGACCGGGACGACCAACTGAAGGAGCTCATGGACTTGATTGAGGACCTGGTGAGGGAGCACAGGGGTGACCACTATGCCAATGGGCTGTACGGCTTAGTGACAGGGTCAGAAGGTGGACCTGTGCAGTCAGAGGAAGCACTGAAGGATTTCAAAGAGAGTCTTATCAAGTACATGGAAATTCAGAGACGTTACACAACCACGGCCAACGCCAGTTGCCTAAAACAAGCCCTAATCAAAGCACTAGTCTGTCTTTTGTTTTGTATTCAGTTGTTTGTCAAATTGCTAATTCTGTTATTTTGTGTATTGTACAGAATGTGCAACTTCTTTTACTGCTCACTCTTTTGTATATACAATTTCTTCTGTGGCTTCCTGTTAATTATACTTCAAGAATTAATGATAATTTCCAGAAAGACCACTGGACTGGAACGCAAGACTCCTAGACTATAGGGACAGACCAGTAATTATCTGCTCACTGTCATATAGTGCGTGAATCACAGGGCCTCCGTGTAATGCACAGCCTGACATCAGTGAATGTTCGAGATTCTGTGAAGCGTTTCAATCTTAACATCACCCTATTTATTAATGAACCAAATTATTGTAAAAGTTACTGTTTGTTTTGAAATATAATACCAGAACCTTTTAGAATCTGTCTACATAAAATTCCTCTCATTTTTAAATCTCTAAAGCCCATTTTATGTTCATGGAAACTCCCTTTCTTCTTCCTAATACTATTTCTACTGAACTTAAGAAAAATAACAATAAAATTTCTACTCAATATAATAACAATAAGTTAACCATAAAGTTCCTGAGATGACTTGTCTTTATTTCTGTTCTATGGTTTTATCCTCAGAAGATGGTAAGTGGACATATGGCTCATTTACTCCATAAGGGATCCAATTTATGCCAAACTACCACACACAGAGACATGGACATGTCAATGGTCTGTTTTACATACATATAATTTGCTTAATGGCTCAGCCAGGTTTGATCCCTGGTCCCACTCACATCGGGCAGTGAAACACACATAGAAGCTTACACTTCAGACAAGATGGCGGACTGGGTACTCTGACGCATCATCCTGTTAAATGCAAATAGAAGCTAAATTTATTAAAATAAACAAGACCTTTACAACTGATGAGCTCACTAGAAAATAAGGAAAACTCCAAAAGTGAAGCAAACAATACACATAAAAAGAAGGTGGAGCTAAAACTGGACTTGAGAGCCACGAGGAATAAGCAAACTTGGAAGGCAGGGTTGACCAACAGGCACATGCTGATACCCACGCTGAGCTCAAGAAACTCAGCCTGGGGTGTCAGCAAAGCTGAAGAGTGACTCCGAGGCTTCTATATCATGTGAGGACCTTCCCAGGGAACTGATATTGCAAACTCATTTTTATCCAAATATACAAGGCTGTTCTCATTTTTTATTTCTTCTTATGCTCATTTTGGTAAGCTATGCTTTTGAAGGTACTTTTCTATTATATTGAAGTTGTTGATTTGCACAAACTCATAAAATCTTTTTATTATGGCTTTGATATGTACAGGAACCACAGTAATCTCTCCTCTTTGAATTCTGCCATTGGTAGTTCATGATTATTTATTTTTGTTTGATCAGCCTGGCTGGAAGTTTATGAATTTTATTAAACATTACAAAAATTTAAGTTTGATTTTCTCTATCGTATTTTCTGCGTTCTATTTTATTGCCTGCTCTTAATATTTTTTTGCAGAGCAGAAGTTTTTAATTTTAATGAAATGTAATTTATCAACTTTTTCTTTCATGGATCATGCTTTTGGTGTTGTATCTAAAAAGTCACCACCAAACCCAAGGTTATGGAGATTTTTCTCCAATGTTATCTTCTAGGAGTCATAGTTTTAATTTAACATTTACATCTATGATTCATTTGGAGTTAACTTTTGTGAAAGATTTGAGGTCTGTGTCTAGACTCATTTTTTTGCAGGTGGACATCCAGCATCACGTTCTGGCATCATTTGCTGAAACGACTAACCTTTCTCCATTGAAACGTTTGCTCCTTTGTCAAAGATCAGTTACATATAACGTAACTACAGCTGTGCTTGGATTTAAGTCTACCTTCCTGCTCCTGATTTCTATTTACCCCATCTTTTCTTTGTCCCTCTTTTTTTCATTCTTTTGTATTAACTGAGTTTTAAAAAATTATTCCACTTTCTCTCTTCTTTTGGCTTTTATTTCTTCAGTGGTTGCTCTAGGGACTAAAATATTTACCCTTAACATTAATTCTCAATCTTGAGTTAAGATAGTGCACCACTTCAAATAAAATATTAGAACCTCAGAGAAGTTACTTCCGTTTAGCTCCTCTCCTCCCTTTGTGATATTGTGGTCCTTTTTTTTACTTCTTCATATGTTAAAAAACGCACAATATGCTATGATTATTTTGCTTTAATCAATTTCCTTTTTTAGAAACAAAGCAATAATCAAAATAGTAGTCTTTTCATATTTCCCACATATTTAAAATGTCCAGAGACCTTCATTCTTTCCTGTTGATCCAAGTCTCTATCTGCTATCATCCCCGTCAGCCTCAAGAATTTCTTGCAGTATAAGCCTGGTGGGACAAATTCTCCCTGGTTTTCATTATCTTCAAATGTCTTCTTTTAATCTTCATTTTTTCAGGGTAGTTCTGCTGAATAAAGAAGTCTATTATTTTTCTGCAGCAATTTAAGCTTGTTCCAATGTTTTCTGGCTCATATTGTTTCTGACGAGAAAGTGGCTGTCATTCTTATATTGTTCCCCTGTGTATAATATGTGTCTTTTTGCCTCCTCTAGTGATTTTAAATTTTTCTCTTTTTCTTTGGTTTTCAGTAGTTTGACTATAAAATGCCTCAGTTTGTTTTTCTTTGTATTTCCTTCTGACTGTTAATTAAGATTTTTGGATTTATGAGTTGAAGTTTTCCATCAAATTTTAACATTTTTGGTCATCATATCTTCAAAACGTTTTTTCTACCCAGTTCAGTCTTGTCTTCTCCTTCTTGGATTCCAATGGCATTAGACCGCTTGATACTGTCCCATTGATCACTAGTGCCATGTTCATTTATTTTTTTCAACTTTTTTTCCTTTTTGTGCTTCAATCTCACTAACTTCTCTTGCCCTGTCTTCAAGTTCTTAGATCCTTTCTTCAATGTCCAATATGCTATTAGGCCCATGCAAGTAAGTTTTCTCAAAAAATTTCAGTTATTTTATTTTCTAGTTTCAGATTTAGGGAGAAGATAGGCCCTGAGCTAACATCCGTTGCCAATCCTCTTTTTGCTTGAGGAAGATTGGCACTGAGCTAACATCTGTGCCAATCACCTGCTATTTTGCATGTGGGATGCCACCTTAGCATTAGGTGATGAGCAGTGTGCTGGTCTGTGCCCCAGATTTGAACCTGCAAACCCCAGACCGCCAAAGAGGAGCACGGGAATTTAACCACCATGCCACTGGGCTGGCCTCAAGATTTAGTTCTTTTGAGAGTTTATATTTCTACCATGAAATTCTTCAACTCTTAGCTCATTATATTTATTTTTCTATAAATTCTTTAATACATTTATAATAGCTATTTTAAAGTCCTTAACTGGTAATTCTAATGAATGAGTCATCTGTGGTTCTGCTTCTACTAACTGTTTGACCTTATGATCATGAGTCATATTTTCCAGATTCTTGACATGTCATGTAAATTTGTATTGTATTTGCGACAATAAAGCTGAAGTCTGAAGTATATGTTCACCCTGGTTTGGTTTATCTCATGGAGAGTGCAAGTTCATTTATCTGTCTGGTGGTTAGAGTGATCACATCCTTGGCTCCTAAATTCGAGTTGAATGAAAATAAGCCACCACTTTAAATTGATTGAGTTCACTTCTCATCCAGCAACCACAAAAGACCACAGCAGCTTCTTTATCTTGTCAACTTTTGAACTGGGAGGGTGTAAGGCTCCAAGTGAAAATGGTTTTACTTCACCAGCAGGGCCCTGTAACAATATGTGGATTGAATAATGTCTCGGTTTTGTTGGCCATTCTCCACTGCTGCTTTCTTAGGAAAGATAATTTATGATGGAAAGGGGAGAAGTTAGCAAGAGAAGCAATTTGGTTTTCCCTCAAGGATCATGTAGATGCCCATCTATTTTGATAGCCCACCTTGTCATGAAAGGGTCATCTAATTTCTCCTCCACTCAGCAAAGTCTACCTTTCTGTGGGAAGCCGACCCATCCAAACGTTTATATCCAGGCCAAGTACCTACCCCAGATAAAGGAGGCTCCCCAGCTCTCTGCTCACCTGTAAGGGCTCTTTCTTATCATGAATCCTGTTCCTCAGTGCTTCCTTGCATCCACCATCCTTTGCTAGACACAGAGAAGTACGTTTTTATTCTGTCCAATTCTTGTCATTGTGGAGGTTAAGGGCTTTTGCATCTTCCACCAACTTAACCAGAAACAAAAAATCCCCCATTTTAACTGATTTTTTTCCTTTTCAAATATTCTTCAGTTTGTTTTTAACAACAACAAACCTTTCAGCTTTTTTTAATTCTTGAACGTTTGCAATACTTTCTCCTTTATGGATCCAGGATGATGAGGGCCTTTGGAGTTCTGTTTCAGTCCTTTTTCTATATACCCTACACATTGTCTGAGTGATTTTTCCTCATTCATTTGTCTTTTTACGGCATGCTGAGGTTACTTCAAATATGCCTCTACCCTTGTCCTTTCTCCTGGTCCTTTATTAACTGAAACAAATCCTAGGTTCTCACACAAGTCTAGACTTATTGTAATATGTTTCTCTCTCACTCTGAACGTTTTTAATACATTTGACTTCAGTGTCCCATTGTACATAATATTTGAAGATGAAATACACAACATTTTAACATCTCATTGGGATAAGACACTTCCATCTCCTTTAAACATAAAGGAAAACATGCTGTAAAATTAGGAAGCTGGCCTTGGTTCTTGTCCTGTGAAACTGAATCCTGGGCACCACCTACATGGCTGGAACTTGTAAACAAGTAAACCTTGATTGCCATGACCTCCCTCTCCTCAAAAAAGAACCAGGATCTACATGGGCATTGAAATAGTGCACCTAAATTCTGGGGAACAGTGGGGCCAATGTCTTTCAGATAGTCAATATTTGATAGAAGGAGTTATTTTCTTATAGTCTCCTCTCCTGAGATGCTATCTGGATCACTCTTCTTCCTTTGTGGCCCTAGGGATGCTGACCGTTCAGCTCTGGGAATGTCATAAAAAGACAGAGAGATCAGGTCTGAAGAATTACCCTAGGAGGTGTGAACTTCTTATTAGCAAAGATCTCTTCAGCAAGGATGTTTTCCTTAAAATGCACAAATTTAACGATTTCTGTGTCATTTTACTGGATTTATAAGAACAGAGAATAAAACAGTGAACGTGTAAATATTGAAAGGGAAGGAAGGAAGTGTCGAAATAGAGGAGGAGAGGAAATAGGCATTCTGGATAGTTCTGAGACCCTGGAGTCTCAGGGCCTCAGGCCTCAGATATGTTCCCACCATTGATGGCAAGTGAGTGAAGAACAGGGGACCAAGCCCAGAGACAGGGAGAAATAATCAAAAGCTAACAGGAATGTAGAGGAAAGTGGAGATGGAGAAAGCCTTTCGGATATGAGGTGATCCCAGGGAGCACTAGCAGAGATGTGGGAACAAAACACAGAGACAGGGAAGGGAGAGGGGCCAAAGCAGGTGGCGTTCACAAGCATGTTCCACTGTAGACAAGGATGCGGACGTCCCCACTGTAGACAACTGGGTCTCAGTCCTGCTGGGGACCTCAGCAATTTGTGCAGACTATACCTCAAAGTTATCTCACTAGGTGGGCAGGGGACAGTTTGCTAAGCAAGGAAAGCAGGGTATTAATTCACTAACTTCTGACTGTCATTGATGAGGTCTGCTCCTGGGTTCGTCAGCTCTCTGACAACCTCAGGTTGCTCCAGGCACTAGCCAAGTAAACTCTTATAGCCAGATAAGCCCTCAGGCAGAGAGTTACAGGTGACTGAAGTAAGACACCACACGCATGCATAGGAACAGCAAATGGCAAGGAAGTATCAAAGAGGCACTGAAAGCATCTTCATGGAAGGTACATGTCGGATCTCCGAGACTCAGTCAAAGCTGATCTCCATGGCTTGGAGTAGGGTGAGGCTAGAGAGGGGCTACAGGCACCTCACTCTTAAGGAAGCCCTCACTCTCAGGACCGTTCACCTGCAGGGTCAGCCCTTGAGTGACTCTGGGGTGAGTGCCTCCTTAAATTCTGTGCCCTGGACACCGCACTTGCCTCACACTAGTCTGGCCCTGCTGATGTAGTGGGAGAACGAGAGGTTCCCTGCCTCAGCAATGCTGACGGAAACAGGGGGAGTGTCCGTCATCCCAAAAAAGGGAGGGAAATAGTGGAAGTTGAGTCTCTTCCCACACTGAAAACTTCAGCTGGCAAGGAAGAGAGGAAAAATCAGGCCGCAGCCAGTGGACCAGGGCTCAGGTTAGCCCTCCTTCTCATGTAAAGGGACAGTGAACTCCCAAAAGTTTAAGTGAGCTAGGTGAGGTCACAGCTGCTTAGTGACATGACCAGGTCTACAGCCAGTTCTTTTGTAGCCTGTTCACCACACGACTGGGTCTTTCGCTGACCTCGCTCTCATGACTCTCTTGAGAGAAGAGAGAAAACTAGAACTGGCGACACCAACACAGATGACTGGACTAGGCCTTGTGACAAGGTCCACTGAAGAACTGTGTCAGGCATTCATCCTCAACACACTGCCGAGCCCTCAGGTCCTTCAATAGCTGGAGCACCTGCCTTCCTTAGAGAATGATGAGACTCTGCTTCCAGACTTTTCTGATGGACTGGACCTCAGGGTAGCACTGGCCACATGGACGTCCAGTCAACAGACAGCCGTTGAGAACGTCTAGCATATTCTTTGTCCTGGGGCAGGAGACTCTCTGGACCTATTTTATAGGGAAAAAGAAATCCCTAGAGGATAAAAGGTAATTGAAGATCAGATCAGTCGCCAACTCTAGAAGTAGAGTCAGGGCTAAGGGCCTACACCGCCCTTCCCTCCCACAGCTGTGGCAAGATATTTGGTAGATTGGCCCTGCTGGAGTCACACACCACCTTGGTCACAGCAGGAAGGAGGGTTTGCAGGAGAAACACTGCAAATGCGCAACCCGATGGGGATTGTGTCTGTCTCTTTAACTTGTCACCACTGGGCCCCCCCTCCCTGAGCTTCCTGGGCTCTGAGGGCTGTGAGGCACAGTGACTTCCTCCGTGTGTTGGGAGGAACAGCCTGCTGCACTCACAGCCGAACAGAAAGCAGTAGGCCAGCTGCTTTGGGGAGCCAGCATCTGAGCCTGTCACCAGGAAAGGTGAGCCCAAACTGGGAGGGAGCTGGCTGGTGAGTGGGAGCTGTGACCACCCAGCAGGAAAGTGGTTCTGAGAGCGTTTACTGCCTGAGCTCCTGCATCCCACCAGGCACCATGCGGGTGAGTAAGAGCCTGAGCACCCAGGATGATGCTTCCAGGTTTAAAGATGTCCCGAGTTTTGAGAGAGGAAGTTTATGAGTATCTTCTCCAGCCTGGAGGATGCACATTCTTGTTAAGGAACAAACCTGTCTCCCCTCTTTACTCCCTTAACACAGCGAGTGAAGTGTGTGCTGGAACCACTTCCAGGAACAGGTTACATTTTGAAAGCATGCAACATTGCCCAGACTGCACACTCAGCAAAGGCAAAAGATGCTTCTCTGGACCATGAGCAATCTAACCTCAGAGCGAGTGACAATGTGGCAGATCCGGGTGCATCTGAATGGACGCACCAGATCCTCCCTCCCCACACTGCCCACAGCAGGGGCCCTCGGGAGACATCTGAGGTTAAGCTTGCTCTCCAGCCCCTTCCCATGCAGGACCCCTAACCCAAGCTTCTCCCACCCCAGCGGCAGGGATGCCTCAATTTCTCCACCTGTACAATGAAGATGTTTGAATAAATAACGGTTTCCATTCTCTGATTTGTGGACTGATTACATCAGAAACACCTGATTCATGAATCAGACTCTCTGAGGATGTTCCCCAAAATGTACATTTTTAAAGAACATTCAAGCAGTTCTGAAAAACAGTAAGTTTGGGAGGTGCTGAACTAGATGAACTTTGAAGTCTCAGAGGATTACGAATATAGGACTCACATGGTTTATGCCCCTCAACAAGTACGAGCCATTTGTCACCCAAACTTCAACTTAAAAACTATTTAAAATCACTTCATATTTAAAGTATTTAAAAACACTTCCATATAGTTTTCATCCAAACTATATGGAAAAGCCAACAGACCTACCCCAGGGCTCTGTGAATTCTGTGTCACACGTTCCCATTTCCACCTTTGACAAGGACTTCTTGCTTTGGCTAAATTCTCCTTCTTTGCTCTGAATCTTCTGGATGTCTCTTCATTTCTGCTCTGCTGTCAATTATGGCAGCTTGGTGATTTCTACACACAAAATAATCAATCACAGGAGGCCTGTGGGCTGAACTTAAGGCTTGGGGAGGTGGCAGGGCACTTACTGCAGGAACAAGAGCACTTTGGACTGAGGACCAGGCAAACCTGTCATCTTGGTGCTTTGGCCAGAGACAAGGTATTCAGCAAACCTCTGCTTTGCTTTCCCTTGTGTGGTGCCAGTGGGAGAGAACACGGTCACCTGCAGTAACCAGGTGGACAACAGGGACAGGGAGAATTAGAAACGGACGTGAGCTCAGGTAGTACTCAGACAGAACGTGGGAGAGGATGAATGGTCACAGGAGGGAAAGCACAAGGTGGGCTGGAAAGGCCCTGAAGTCTGCTCCTGGTGGAGCGGCTGATCGAGTCGGGGAGTGGCTGGAGATGAGGCTGGAGACGCAGACGGAGGAGACTGTGCACTTGCGTCCGGGTACCTGTGGGATCCAGGAAACGCGCTTCTAGAACATTTATTGTATTAAATGATGGTTGAGCTGGACATCATTAGTTTACTTCGAGAAGCCTCAGATTTGGGGCAGAACATCAGGAGACGGAGGGGAGCGCCCCAGTCTCTCCAGCACACAGATCAGAGTTAGACACATTGCGAGCCAAATAATCCAGCTTGCTGAGAGCAGAGTCAGAGGCTGTCCAGAGCAGATTGCGAGGTATGTCTGTTTTCCAATTTCCACAAACAAAACTGCAGTTTTCTTCTTGTTTGTTTCCCAGGCCAACCACCCTAGGGTGTTCCCTAAGTCACTGGGCAAATTTTGGGGTTCTCAGTGTTTTCCAAAGTCTCCTCTGGCTGTTGAAACTCCTGCGAAAACTTCATATGTAAGGCTCATGTGACTGACACAGAATTACCTGGGAAATTAACATCTACAGCCGCCTCACTGATGCAGAGTGAGTGTCACGCTCTGCGCTCTGCTGCTGCACTTGGAGTCCCTGAAATGACAAAGCCAATGTCTCAGCCTCACTCCAACCCCAGCCCAGGCTCTTCCCAGGTTCCTCCCTAAACTCAGATGTTCAGGGGCAGGAGGGAACCATGCCTTCCTCACTGTGGGGTCACCAGCTCTTTCCACTTTGCCTGACACATCGTGGGGAGTTATACCTATCTGATGAATAAATGAATGAGAAACGAAAGATCAAACTGTGTTTGGGACTCTTGCAGGTAGCATGGGAGGACGGAGGATGGTAAGAGACGAAGAAACTGCCTATGGTAAGAATACACCTCACACGGCGTTAATGCCCCCAGGAGTGAGCTCTGGGTGATGAGGGGCGAGCCAACTCCAGACTGACCAGAGACAAGCCCCACCTGCACGTTAGCTGGACCTCTGCCCCTGCCCTGCTGGGAGACATTAAGTTCTGTGACTAGCCTGCACCTTCATTCCCAAAGTGGGAAATGAGGACCATGGATCTACTCGGATCCCCGCAGAGGAGGATGGAGAAGGGATCCAATCATGGACTAGACGGAACACGATTTGCCAGGCAGCAGGTGTTAGAGAACAGGATGGAAGGTTAAACCGCTGTCTTCTAAGGCAGCAGGTTTAAGAGAGAGGAGAGGGAGGAGGAGGAAAAGGAGGAGGGAGGGAAGAAGAGAGCTTGTCTCAGCTCACCCCCCACATCCCTGTGAGAAACAGTCTGTTTGCATTTTGCAGAAGACGTTTAAGTCTTACAGTAAGCACCTTCCCAGGTGACACAGCTGGCTGATGGTGGGGCTGTAGCTCAAACCCAGGTGTCTGGGACTCTGGGCAGCCCTTCCACACGAGGCCTGCTGCCTTTCCTCCTGGGATGGCACCTGGGAGAGTATCGCAGAGGCCACTGAAGTCGTGAAATAAGCAACAGCTCTGCACGCTGTGGGTGACCAGAGGTCACGTCAGATGCAGCCCATGCGGCCTGGAATTGCAAAGGGGCGTCCTCTAGGGAAAAGCCCACGGGGTGTTGGAGCATCCCCAGGCGCATGTGGTGACGCCAAAGAGGAAAGACGTAGACAGGTAAAGATCCCCCGGGAGTCCAAAAGTCTCTAACCAGATCACCTCAGTGAAGGCTGGCCTTGAAAAGCAAAGGGTGAGGCACTATTGCTCCCCTTTGTTCGAAAGGCGTCCAGCAGGTCCAGGTCAGCAGGCTCAGTCGCTTCCAGGCTTGCGGCTCACGAATCATTGTCCGCGCAGGTTCCGAGGACGACCCGCAGGAGCCCAGGCTCAGGCTCATCCTGGCCGGGAGGACGGGGGCCGGCAAGAGCGCCACGGGCAACAGCATCCTGGGCCAGCGGCGCTTCTTCTCGAGGCTCAGCGCCGCGCAGGTGACCACCACCTGCGCCGTGGGCAGCTGCCGCTGGGCCGGCTGGCACGTGGACGTCATCGACACCCCGGACTTGTTGCGGCGCCGAAGACCCCAGGACAGAGCCGGGCTGCGGCGAGAGGGGCCGCTGCTACCTGCTCTCGGCGGCCGGGCCGCACGCCCTGCTCCTCGTCAGCCAGCTGGGCCGCTTCACCGCCCAGGACCAGCAGGCCGCGCGCCGGCTCAAGGCCATGTTCGGCGATGACGCTGTGGCGCGCACGGTCCTGCTCTTCACGCACAAGGAGGACCTGGCCGGGACCTCGCTGCAGGACTACGTGCGCTGCACCGACAACCGCGCGCTGCGGGAACTGGTGGCCGAGTGCGGCGGCCGCGTCTGCGCCTTCGACAACCGCGCCAGCGGCGCGGAGCGGGAGGCCCAGGTGGCCGAGCTCATGGCGCTGCTGGAGCGGCTGGTGCGCGCGCACGGGGGCGCGCCCTACACCAACGACGTGTACGGCCTGGCGCGCGCCCTGGGCCGCGCGCGCCCCGAGGAGCGGCTGCACAGGGTGGCGGAGAGCGTGGCGGCCCGCGTGCAGCGGCGGCGGGGGCGCGGGCTGCTGGCGGCGCTGTGGGGGCGCGGGAGGGCACCCTGGAGCCGCCGGAGGCTGGTCGTGGCCGCGCTGCTGGGGGCCCTGGGCCTGCTCTACCTGCTGCTCGCCAGGCGCCAGGCGGACGCCGCGACAGACAGCGCAGGTCTTAAAAATGCCTTCCCCTGGCGGGAGAGGAGCTGAATGCTTGGAGCTGAAGGGGGGACTTAAAACCTCCTTCCAAAGGAATCCTGCAGTTTCAGACAGAGTGTTAATGTCGCGGAAATCTGTGAACACTGCATCAATTTTGTAAAAGCTCGAAGTTCACTTGTTAAGTTTTCAAGTTTCAGTTTTGGCTAATGTATATAATTTTAAAATAAATTGGCCTAACTTTAAAATGTCCTTTAAACGTTTTAGTCTTGATGCATATTTCCTCTCTTGAAAAATAATGAAGTGAGTGACAGTTCGTATTAGAAAATGGATTAGGCAAAAGGAAAGCAAAGATTTTTATTTTGAGCGTTTTAAAAAGTTTAGACACGGTCTTAGTCCGTTAGGGCTGCTAGTTTTAAAAAAAAATAATGCTGCAGACTGGGTGGCTTATAAACAACAAACCTTTTTCCCCACAGTTCCGGATTTGGAAGTCCCAGATCAAGATGGCAGCCTGGTCGGGTTCTGGTGAGACCCCTCTTTGGCGTTCCGGATGCTGGCTGGCTGTGTCCTCACATGGTGAATGGATGAGCCAGCTCTTGGGGCCTGTGATATATGAGCACAATTCTCAATCATAAGGGATCTGCTCTCATGGCCTAATCACCTCCCAGGGGACACAAACCTTCAGACCATAACAGACATTCGAAAAGTATGGAAAGCCATACTTTTCTTTTCTTTTTTGGTAAGGAAGATTGGCCCTGAGCTGACATCTGTTGCCAATCTTCTTCTTTTTTTTCCTTCCCCAAAGCCCCAGTACATAGTTGTATATCCTAGTTGTAGGTCATTCTGGTTCTTCTACGCAGGCCTCCACCACAGCATGGCTTGATGACTGGTGTGTGGGTCTGCGCCTGGGATCCAAACTGGTGAACTCTGGGCCTCCCAAGTGGAGCACAGGAACTTAACCACTCAGCCCCAGGGTCGCCTCGCTTAACAGTTTTCTAGTTCTCAACATGGTAGATTCATCCCTTTGTGATCCTGATGGGCTTTTAGGATCATCAATGAAGCGATATCAGGGGCATACATGTTAACGTTTACATCTGACACATCAGTTTACCTACTTGTACAATGATTTACTACCCACAAGAAAAACGTAATTGTACTGAAAATAACAGTTTCCTTTTTTTTTTTTTTTTTGCACTTTTCATGGTTCTAGTCTTTCCAAAGTGAAGCCGGATTTTGAGTAATGTCTTCAGTGTGGTTATCTACCTGGATTTTTATGCAAAAGAAAAAAAATCGAACTTCTCTGTGATAGTGGAGAAGAGAAGGAGAGGCAGGTGCCTGGGCAGAAAGTCGCAGAACACCAGAGGTTAGGCTGGTGTGGCTGTATGGTTGGGCGGTACAGAGGATGGGCCAGCCCACGAAAGTGCTGGAATGCCGCATCGTTAGAAAACCAGAGCCATCCTTAAGTTGTGTAATCAAAGGATAGGATTTCCTTATTTCTGTTTCCGAATGTGACAGACGCTTCTCTTCTCTAGTCGGGAGGTGTGGATGCGCCAGGAGCATCTGTGGGGAAGGTAGGCAGTTGTGCGCAGGTGCCCTGGACCATGCTGGCTCCATGTGAACTAGGGGCCTACGCAAAAGCGCTCTGGGGCCACGGGTTAGGGCTGGGGGGAGGCCCGGAGTGGGCTGCGGGCTTAGGGTGGGCTGCAGTCGGGGGGCTTGAGGGGCCTGGTGACCGTTGCAGTGCGTTAGGGTCTGTGAAGCATGGCTGGGGAAATGTCCCTTATTAATCCCTGCCTTTAGCGTCCTCAGCAGCCCTGCCGGGTTAATGGAGGGGCTCTGAGCCAGACAGGGGTTCCTTCGATGACCCGAGGGGCAGCAGAAAGGGGCAGAGTGGGGGGATGGCCCGTGTCCCCAGTTTGGCTCCAGAGCAACGTGTGCAGGAGCAAGTGCTGTGGGCCAAGGCGTTGCTTACCAGTGGGCTGATTTTAATCTGTTATTCTTTCATTTTTTCCTTGTCTTGCATACATGTGTCCGCAAATGCCCTCCAATATTTGTCATTACTTATTGTTTCTGCCTTGTTTATAAATGGAAATGTGACTTTAAAGTAAATATAAGTATTACGGTTTTTAAATTCTCATGTGGACCGTAGCATATAGAAATGTATAGCTGGATCAAGGGAGGGCTGGACGTCCGTGGGTAAAATGCCCTCCTCGGGGCATCGCAAGGGGCGCGATAAGGGGAGTTGTGAAGACAGCGGGAGATGCACCACGGGGCCTGAGGGGCTCGTGTTTCAGAGCTGGTCTGCTGTGTACTTGCTCGAAGATCTGGGGCATGAGAGGATTCCGTTTTTTTCTTGAGATGCATATATTAATATTAATCTTTCTAGCTTTCATGGATGATGAAATAATATGGTGGAAGTACTTTGTAGGTTAAATTCCGTGACTATAATACAGAAATAGAAATACCTGAGGAGAGTTTTCATAATAATAAATACTCATCAATAAATAAATTTCACACTCATAAATAAATTTCGCACTCATAAATATTCCATATTTATTATTCATGAGAATAAATACTTCACATTATATAGAAGTGTATAGAGTTGGGAGCCAGTGGTAATGCAAGGTGGGATATGATTAGTTGTTGAATACGTTTACAAAGTGCAAGTGTAAGAAGATACATTACTATATCTGTCTGTCCTATTGGTTCTGTTTCTCTGGAGACCCTAATCCAGTTAGACACATGGAGAAAGTCCAGCTCCCAAGGCCCAGATTCACAAAGATGCCTGAGACTGAAGCTGGACAAGAACAGAGGACACTGCCCTGCCCCACTCTGTGCCTCAAAAGCAATTAACAATTGACAAGCAGTTTTAATAACAAGTAACAAGCAGTGGCCTCTACCACAAGGGAGGGTCAGGCCTGGAGACTCTGGGAGGCAGAGTTGTGCAGAGATGACTGGAAGCTGAAGGCGGGCAAAGCAGGAACACTGAGTAAAACCTTATGGCATCTGAGTGCCCACCCTAAGCACAGGCAACTCTCGGGAAATACAAGCCTAAGGTGCACAAAGGGAACCATAGCAACAACCCCCACCAGCTCCCCTCCTGGGTAGACTGACTCAAACCCCATGCTCACAGCCAGACAGGAGAAACGGGATTCCACTTCCAGGCACAAATACTATTTATCTCAGTTTCTACTTTCCTTCTACACATGATGTCTATAATTTAATAAAATTATGAAACATTCAAAAAAAGCAAGAAAAAAATTGTACATTACCAAAAGACCAAGCAATCAACAGGCCAGACTCGGAAACAGTCCAGAAGTTGGACAAGGATTTTAAAATAACAACGAGGACTGAATAAAAAATGTGGGTAACATGAACTACAAGAAGGGGAATTTCAAGAGAGAGACAAAAACCATGAGTCAAAAATCAGTGGCAGGGATCCAAAGCCCTGTCGGAGATGAAGTCTTCCTGAGCAGGGATATCAGTAGACTCAGCACAGTTGACGAAGGAATCAGTGAACTTGAAGACGGGTGGAGAGAAAGTCCCCACACTGAAACAAAAGCTAAAAATGAGGGAGAAAAAGAAACAGAACAGAATATCCAAGAGCTGTAGACAATATCAAACGGATTAACATACGTATAACTGAAGCCCCAGAAGGAGAAAGGAGAGGACATGCAGAAGAAATACGTGAAGAGATTTGGTCGAGACTCTTCTAAAAATAATGAAAAGACACCAAGCCACAGGTCCAAGAATCACAGAGAAGCCTGGGCGGAATAAACACAGAAGCAAGCAAACAAACAAAAGTCTAGACGCTTCATATCCACACTGTTAAAACCAAAGATAAAGACAAAAACTTAGAAATAACCAGGGGAGGGGCCGTCCAGTGGTGTAGTGGTTAAGTTCGTGTGCTCCGCTTCAGTGGCCTGGGCTTCGACCTAAACGTAGCTCATCAAGCCATGCTGTGGCGGCATCTCACAGACAAAGTAGAGAAAGATTGGAAACAGATGTTAGCTCAGCAACAATCTTCCTCACCAAAAAATAAAAAATAAAAATAAAAAAAATAACCAGGGGAAAAAACATTATATTAGAGAAATAAATATTGTAATTACAGATGATTTCTTGTCAGAGCCTGCCGTTCAGAAGACAATGGCGTGGCATCTTTATAATACTAAAGAACAAAAGTGTCAACCCAGATTTCTATAAACAACAGAAATTTCCTTCAAATATGAAGGTGAAATAAAGACTGTCTAGCTAAAAAAAGCTGAGATAATTCATTGTCAGCTTACCTGCGCTGAAAGAAATATTAGAAGAAGTTCTTCAGGCAGAAGGAATTAATGTGATACCAGACAGAAATCTTTATTTACATAAATTAAAAGCTCCAGAAATGACCAAAAGAAAGAAGATAAATATAAAGGACATTTTTCTTACATTTTATAGCTCTAAAAGGTAATTGTGTAAAACAAAACTACTAATAACATATTAGGGAATTTACAGCATATGCAAAAGGCAAACATGACAACATGTGGGAGGGAGAAATTGCAACTATACTGTTGTATGTTTCTTAAAGCACATGCGAAGTGGTCTAATATTATTTACAAGTTCACTGTGATAAATGGTCTAAACACCCCCTGAATAAAAATCAGAGACTATAAGATAGGGTTAAAAATCAAGACCAATCTGTAGGCTATTTACAGGAAACTCACTGTAAATATAACAACTGGACTGGTTTTCGATTGCTGCCTAACAAATGACCTCAGACTTGGCAACTTAAAACAACACACATTTGTTATCTCATGGTTTCTGTGGGTCAGAGGTCCGGGCACCAGCTTAACTGGGTCCTCTGCTCAGAGCTTCACAAAGCTTCAGTCAAGGGCTCAGCCACGCAGTGGTTCTCATCTGAAGCTCAGGGTCCTTTTCCAAATTCACTCGAATTGTTAGCAGAATTGAGTTGCTTGTGGCTGTAGGACTGAGGTCCTCCCAGAGGCTCTAGAGGTGGCCCCTCTTGATAGGCAGTTCACGGCATGGATATTTGCCTTCTGCAAAGTCAGCAGGAGAATCTCTGGCTTTTAAGGCTTTCTTGAGCAGGTCAGGTCCACCCAGTATACCCTCCCTTTTGACTAACTCAAAGCCAGCTGAGTAGGGACCCTAATTACATCTGGGGGTCTCTTCATCATTGCCATCTAAAGTGACCTCCATCCTATTCACAGGTCTGCCCCACTCAGAGAGAGAGGATTATCCAGGGCTTGTACACGAGTAGAGGGGGATCGTGGGCCATCTTAGAATTCTGTCTACCAGAACAATATAGACAGGCTAAAAGTAAAAGAATTGGGAAAGAAAAACCATGAAAATACTAACGAAAGGAAAGCTGAATGGCTACATTGATAAAAAAGTAGTCTATAGAACAAGGAACCTTACTGAAGAGGAAGACAGACATTACATAAGGATAAATGTGTTAATTTACCAGGAAGACACAATCCTAAAAATGTATGGACCTAAAATAGAGCTTCAAAAGACATGAAGTTAAAACTCAACAAATCAAAAGGATAAATAAACAGATCCTAAATTATAATTGCAGACTTTAAACCTCCTTTCTTAGTAATCAGTAAAACACCCAGGCAGAAAATCAGTAAGATTACAGAAGGTGTAAACAATACTTTTCCCTTAAGGTCAAGAAAAGGCCAGGCTGTCCATCCCAACCTCTCCAATTCAACATAGTAATGGGCATCCAGCCAGCGAAATGAGGCAAGGAAAGGAAATTAAAGTCATACAAATTGGAAGGGAAGTAATAAAGCTCTTTATTCAAAGATAACATGATTGTCTACATACAGAACTCCAAAGAGTCGAGAAAAAAAGATATTCTAGGACTAATAAATTAGCTTAGCAAAGTAGGAGAATACAAGGTCAACATGCAAAGATCAATTGTATTTCTACAATGAACAACTGGAAAGTGGAATTAAATCATCAGTACCATCACAATAGCATTAAAAACCATAAAAACTGGGTCTGGCCCCGTGGCCGAGTGGTTAAGTTCGCGCGCTCCACTGCAGGCAGCCCAGTGTTTCGTTGGTTCGAATCTTGGGCGCGGACATGGCGCTGCTCATCAAACCACGCTGAGGCAGCGTCCCACATGCCACAACTAGAAGGACCCACAACAAAGAATATACAACTATGTACTGGGGGGCTTTGGGGAGAAAAAGAAAAAAATAAAATCTTTAAAAAAAAAAAACCATAAAAACTGCTTTGGGATAAATCTAAGATTTTTATGCTGAAAACTACAAATGTTGATTTTGAGAAAAATCTAAGACCAAAATAAACGGAGAGACAGACTATGTTCCTGGATAAGAAGATTCAATGTTATTAAGATGCGAGTTCTCCCTAATTTAATCTACAGAGCAACGCAATCTTAATCAAAATCTGAGTGGGACTTCTTGTAGATATTTACAGGCTGCTTTTAAAACTTATATAAAAAAACAAACAATGAAAAGTATTTTAAATAAGAAAAAGTTGGAGGATTTACCCTCCCTGATTGCAAGATTTACTATAAATCTGCAGTCATCATAACTCCAGGGTTTTGGTGAAGGTTAGACATATAGATCAATGAAACAGAATAGAGTCCAGAAATAGACCTCTGCAAATATGATCAATTAATTCTTAGCAAAGCTTACAAAGTAATTCAATAGAGAAAGAATAGTCTTTTCAAGATATGGAGATGGAAAATTGACCTTCTACTTGTCAAGAATCTTGATGCATACCTCACACCATTTGCTAAAGATTAACTATGTGATTTTCTGAACAGCATTTCTCTCCTCTTGGTCTCAGTCTCCTTATCTGTAAAGTGACAGAAAAAAAAGGAAGGAAAAGAGCTATTCTAGATAAACTCTGAGATCCTTATCCTTTGCTTTCACCTCCTACACTGTATCCTTCTTATCTTTGCATTCGTCAACCTCATTTATTCACTGGGTTAAACTTTCAATGAGCAATGTGTGCATGCAAGTCTCCCTGAGGCTAATGGCAGCAGAGGCCATGGGTGTCATGGAGAAGCTGCAGAAGGTCATGACCTCTTATGACTTCTTACGTTGTCACTGAACTGCTTCTGGCACCTCTTGTGCAAATCAACCCCCTTCACCCTCTCTGCAGTGGGTCGGTCTTGCATTCATTTTTTATCCTTGTCCAGGGCTGTGCTTCCCTTTCTCTGAAGAAGAATAAAATGTGACAAGTTTACTTTTCCTTTGGATAAAGGCAATTCGGTAACACAGGTGGTCACCCCAATTACCAGGTGAATTTAGGATGAACTCCGTGTGACAACTGGCGTCGTCAAGTTCTCTTATTTGGGGACTAGTAACGGTTTATCTCGACACCATGTAAGTCGTGGGTGGCATCTGCTGGGCTGTCTGACAGGGTGGGATGTCCTTGTCTTTGCAATCTCTTCGAGGACTGTGATGTGACTCCACTCTAACACTTGTTCGATGACAAAACTGTTTCTTTCTCTTCTTTTTGGTGGAGAGGTTTTGTGGATTGGCGGGAGATTTAATGTATTTTCCCCAACAAATCTTAGACAATCATTATTATGTGACTCTGAGCCTAAACTCAAAAGTCAACAGAAAGGAATCTGGAGATTCTCTGGGACAAGACTGGCTCCTGCCTAAGCCCACGCTGTGCTCTCCAGCTGGCTTTGCAACATAGTCGTTTTAAGTCCGTTGCTCTGGCCTTAAATGTGCCATCAGTTGACAAACCTAGGAGCTACAGCCCTGCTCCCAACCCGCGCCTAACAATCGACATACAAGTTCCAGTCCCAGTAAGGCCCCATGGGGCTTGTCTGTCAGATGGCACAGAAGGGGCAGCCAGCACACGGGGCCTGGGGAGCCCCTCAAAGTCACGTCCTCAGCGCTGTGCTTCCAGGCCCTTTGTGGACCAGCAGTGCCTTTCCTCCCTGGTAAGCAGGAACGTTCTGGAATCAGAGGATGGAGAAGGGGCCTGGGGAGTTGGGTGGCGTAGGTGCTCCTGCGACGGGTGCTGAGGGGAGCGGCTGGTGCCCCACAAGAACTTTCCAGGGTCACAGGGGGCGTTTCTGAACCCGAGGGATCCGTCACTGCCTGCACAGCCTCTTCCTCCGCATCTTGCTTATTCTAACAAGTCGCGAAAGTAGAATGGGAGGGGGCCTGGCAGTCCGCGGGCTCTGACAGGAAGCGGCCGGTGCAGGAGGACGCGCACGCCCGCGCGCTCGCTGCTCCCGGGTCCGGTGCGCAGCCTTTCGCAGTCGACCCCAAGGGACGCGTCCTTGGCTGCGGGGAAGGGGGGGCGCTCCATAAACGCCTTTTCTCCTCTTTCCCTGCTGCCAAGCCTGGAACCTTCGGCTTCACGCGCGCTTCCTCCTTCACTGCGTCCGCCCCGCCGCCTTCCCGACCCGCAGACCCGACGCGCCCCCCGCGCCCGGTAAGGGGACCCGGTGAGGGGCCCAGCGTCTGCGGGGGGGCGGAGAGCCCAGGGGTTAGTCCAGGCTGCTGACTTCTGGTGTGGTCCCACATGGGTTCCCATACTTCTGTGTTCGCCCAGCCTGAAAGGGGGCGATGACGGTGAGCGTTATGGGCAACAGCAGATTTCTAGGGGTGCAAAGCAGACTTGGAAACGCTCCCCCTGCGTTGCCAGCCCTCGAGCCACAGCGCTGCGGGCTTCTCCGTCCCATTGCCTACTTCTTAGCCGCTTGGTCTTCATGAGACTCTCAGGGTTTCATAAAGCTGGACCAGTGTTCTCCTGCCATTTAACAGATGAGAAGCGGAAACTCCCAAGGTGCCCGAGCGAGGTGGGGGCGCACTTCTCAGTTTTTCCCTCTTAACTTCTCATATCCCCCGCCCCAAGCTCTGCCATGCGCGGGGTCCCAGAGAGGCCTGGGCCTGCAGACAGGACCCTTAGGGCGCCATAGGCAAATGTGCGGTCATTATTTTCCCACCGCAGTGAGCCACATGTTCCAAACGGGGCCCCTCGGTGGACTTTGTTTTGTGATATTGATCTTCTGGAAACCACACATTCTCCCCCAAATGCCCCACACCTTTCCTATGACACGATGTGGACTTTGCTCTGTGGCAAACAGACTCATGTTCAGGGCGAATGGAAACAACCCCTTTGTCCGCCAGACCTTATGCGAGAGACGCGTCCCGAAATCACAATGACTAAACTGCCAAGCAAGTGACCGTACTCCTAGGGAGTACAGGGACGGGGACAGACGAGTGAAGGAGACACTCGTGAACAAGGCAGACAGGAAATATTTTTGTCTCTCCTCAGACAGCGTTAGAGAGCCTGCTTTCCCGGGGTTTGATAAAGTGAGGTATCGTCGTGAAGAAATCGGGCTCGCGTAATTGTAAAGTCAGAAGGTGCATTATGTCCCCTTGCTTCAGCCTCCCTAGTAACTGGGGCCTCCTGCCATCCTGTCAGATGCTGTGATCCTCTCTGCTTGCCCGCTGACTGCCGCTGTCTCACGACTCCGGGCCCCACGTAGGGGAAGATTAGTAGAATTTTTCTTCTGGAGAAGAATTCTGCCTCCATTCTCAGTTCTCTCGCTTTTACCTGCTCTGAGCCTGGCGCTGCCACACTCCTTCAGATCTGCAGTGCTTCCGCCAGGCTTCTCCTGAGCTTGGCTCAGTCCTCTTAATATTTTGTCTATGACTCCTGTTAGCATCTCCGTCAATATCCTGTCTGACTCCCTCTGGACACTTTGTAATTTGCTCATAGCTGCCTAAAACTCTATTCCTCAGTGGGACTCGGGTCTGCTCCTGCAGCCTGAGCCACGGGGAAGATGGTTCTGGAGAACTCCTGCCCCGCTCCTCGGATCACGTGATCTGAGTTCGATTGGTTTTTTGTGACAGCCCCATTGTTGCATTTGGGTCACACTAAGTCAAGTAAAAACACCAGGCTGTTTTAAACTGAAATACTTCCGTTCAGAACAGCTTCTGCCGCCTGCAATTTTATCTTTCTACTTATTTATTTATTGAAAAATATGTACTCAAGATTTTGCAGTACAATTCTCTGTGTTGGTTTTAGGGCTGGCCTCCAGCCTGTCAGTATCAGTCTGTGTCCTGACCATGGGCTGACAGCCTGGCGTGTGGTGTTCCAAGAGGCTTGTGGACTGACTTGGAACAACCTCTTTCCTCCTGTGGAATCAAGGAGAGTGTACAGGCAAAGCATCCATTTGTTGCCCTTAGCTCCACGGCAATTGTGTGACCTCGGGCAGGTCATTTCATGCTCAGTTTCCTAATATTTTAAATGTTAACACCTATCTTGATCACAGCACGGGGAATCTAGGAGAACAAGTGAAATAAAGGACGTGAAAGAACTTTGAAAGCTGTGAGCGACCGCACGGGGATCAGCACGATGGTGAAGTTCGTCACCAGCATCGTCAGCACGGTCATCGTCTTTACCGCATCGCTAGATTCATTCCAGCATATTTTCTGAGGTTTCCAAGCCTCAGAAATGTCACCTAAGGTAGAAAAGATGTCGGAGAATTTGAGCGGTTTTAGCAAAAGCGAAGATTTGGGGAATTCTCACCCACGGCTGGTGCCAGGGGGAGTTGGCACAGCCCTCTTGGAGTCAACTTGGCAGCGTGGAGTCAGCTGGGAAGTCTGTGTCCCAGGTGACCTGTTGCACCTGAGCACGAGGAGATCTGCGTGGGGGTGGTCGTGCAGCTTTGTTCATGGTGGCAGGCATTTATTTTGGAACAGCTTAAATGTTTGTTAACAAGTAATTGGATAAAATGTTACATAAATAATGTCATTTATGTAAAAGTTTAAAATACAAAAGCAGTGCTATATATTATCTATAGATACATGTGTATGTCGAAGCTTAAATACACAAATGGGAATGATACATAAAAACCTCAGAATATGGTTGCCTCTGAAGTGCAGGGGGAGGGAGAATGAGACCGGGGAGTAGAAAAAAATAAATGAAGTACACGGGGAATATTTAACTTTTTCAATCAAACAGTACAGCTGCAGGAAACATGCCAGCATCCTTACATTTGTTCGTTGCAGATGGTGGGTATTAGTTTTATAACTGTGTATTTCTCCACCTAAGAAGTTTGTCCCATAATGGGATAATCTTTAAAACTTAATAAATAAAACACACTCATAGAGTTCATCTTAATTATGATTGAATTTCACATGCTTGCCTTTTTTAACGTATGCGTACCCTTTCTAACACCGAGAAGAATGACACAATATCATGCCTCATTTGAATGAAACATTTATGCCAATGGTTGTGCCAATTTCTGGTTAAATCTGCTGTGATAGAAAAATGGTGATTATTGGGAGACCAGGATCTCAGAAGCTACTGGGAAAGACATTTGCTTGAAAACTGAAGAGGAAACGAGTTTATCTTGACTTTGTCCTGAGTGTTGATTCTTTCCCTTCAGACACAGCACCACCTTCTCTCCACCAGCTGCTCAGGGGGAGGGAGGAAGGTGGTCGTGCTCGGCCATCTTCCACTCCTTCCTCTCGTGGCACTCCTTGAAGGAGTCCTCGGCCCCAATTCCATCCTCCCATTGGAAGGTACATTGCACTTTCCTCTTTGCCACTAGAATATCCATCTGACACAAAGAGTTTCGGCCACTGGAAATTCCAAGTACTTTAAACAAATCAATGTCATTTACAGCAAGGCATTTTTTTCTCTATTCTACTATGTTTTCCTACTTTGATTCCAATAAAAAAATAATAATGATGTCCCACTCCTCGTTCCATAGAAGAATGCTTTGTCTTCATTTCATGCCTTTTCAAGTTGGATGGAGATAATCAACTGATTGGTTTCAAAATATTTCCTGCTTTCCTGTAAGCTGAGAAAAAAAGCAACAGTCAGTTGCCTTGCGTTAACATAACTTAGAATCGCCTGGTTAGCTTAAAGTTATTTGTAGACATTTGAAAGTAAAATATGAGTTAGAAAAATGAGCGGTGGAAATGGCTCATCTAAGGGTAATTATTCTTAGGAATCTGAACTGGAGGCATTCTCAGGCCTCACCGACTCCCATATGGACACTTGCTTTTCATTCCTTTCCTGTTTTGATTGCAGAAGAGAATGGAAGGGCTTCAGAGGAGCAGATATGGAACTATAGTTGAAGGTAAGAAAGCCTCGCAGGTCTCCGGAGCTGAGGGCAGCGGAGGAGTCCCTGTTCTCTGTCCGCCTGGCCCCCACCTCCAACACACGGATGGAAACCCACTTGTTTTAAACAGGAGGAGAAAAGGGCAACTGTCATTTATTCTCTCCCTTCCCCGTTGTCATCAATCCCGCTCACACGCGGCAGTGTGATGCTGCCCCTGCACACGATGTGGGAAATGTGGAAATGAAACTTCTGGTCTGAAGTTGGAGGATTTGAAACTGAATTGTGAAAATGTTTCTCCTTCCTTGTCTGCTCTCAGCTGAAGAAAAGGAAAAAAGTTCCCCATAGAGATTTCGTAACCGTGTTTGCTACAGAACATCCCAGAATGCTTTAGGAAAGGGAGGACCAACCCAGAATAGAAGGAATAGAGGAATAGACTTTCGGAGCCTAGAATGAATTTAAGATTCGTTTGGGCTCATAGGAGCTCAAGAAATCCTCGGCTCCTCACCCTCTGCATCCCTTCAAGATCTTAGCTCTTGGCTCAGTGTTGCCCTCTCCAGCACCACTTTATTTTAATAATTTCCTGTGATTCAATCATCCAGATAGATGATCTTTCCAACACATGTACATTTAATGGTCTTATCTTCCACTCGTCTTCAGCCACCCATGCAGAGTCATCTCCCAGACTTGTCCTTGACATTAACTGTGACCTCTGTCATCTCAATTTCTAGCATCCAACCCCCCACCCAAAGGGCAGAGACCCAGGGACATTCAGCTGGTCCTGGGTGGGAGGTCACTCCAGCTCTGACATTGGAGACTCCCTTTACCCCCAAGGTTCGGATGTGTGTGTCGAGCACTTCTATATGCATGTGCCTGGGAATTTGTGAGTGGAAAAGAGGTGATAATATTTTCTCAGTGCCTTCCCATCCTCTGCCTTCTTCTAATCTCACATTTATTTAGTGTGACACTGGCCTAGGCACCGTCCACGGAAAAGCACAGGGACCACTTTTCTTTCAGAAAAACTGTATTTTCCCAGGTGTAGATGAGATGCTTGGAGCAGCCTCCTTAGCGTAGCACTTCTTACTCCGGGCTGTGGGTCCAGATGTGGACCCCCTGTGATCCAATAACTCCTAACGTTGGATCAAACTTTTGGATGTGTTTAGATGTGAATGTTTTCCTGGGGACAGATTCACAGCTTTCATGAGCTATCATGAAGGTCTGTAATGTAAAACTCTTAAAAATCACTAACTTGGGAAGATCCAAAAATTCTTTGTTTGTAGACAGAGGAGAAGATAACCAGTTTGGAACGTCGTCCTCATTGAGGATCCTCCTGGTGGGCAAAACAGGCAGCGGGAAGAGCGCCACAGGGAACAGCATCCTCTGCCAGCCAGCGTTTGAGTCCAGGCTGGCGGCCCAGTCCGTGACCAGGACAGTCCAGAAGGCGACAGGCACCTGGAATGGGAGGAACATTCTGGTGGTTGACACGCCCTCCATCTTTGAGGCCAAGGCCCAGACCCAAGAGACCTACAAGGACATTGGGGACTGCTACCTGCTCTCGGCCCCAGGGCCCCACGTGCTGCTGCTGGTGACCCAGCTGGGGCGCTTCACTGCCCAGGACACGCTGGCGGTGAGGAGAGTGAAGGAGGTCTTTGGGGCAGGAGCCGTGAGACACATGGTCGTCCTCTTCACCCACAAGGAGGACTTAGGGGGCGACTCCCTGGACGAGTATGTAGCGAACACGGACAACCACAGCCTGAGGAGCCTGGTCCAGGAGTGCGGGAGGAGGTACTGCGCCTTCAACAACCGGGCCACCGGGGAGGAGCAGAGGGAGCAGCTGGCCCAGCTGATGGCCGTGATCGAGAGGCTGGAGAAGGAGCGCGAGGGCGCCTTCCACAGCAATGACCTCTTCTTTGACGCACAGATGCTCCAGCGAGAGGGGGCTGGGGTGGGTGGAGGAGACCACAGGCGCTACCTGGCCAGGGTGCAGTTGCAGGTGGAGAAGCAGAGGCGAGACCTGACAGAGAGCGAGAGTAACTGGGTGCTCAAGGCGCTCCTCAGAGCCAAGAACTGGATGCTTGCTCACCGTGGAATATCTGCTGTTATTGTCATATGCACTTTGATTTTTCTTGCTGTTTTAATTTACTTGTGTATTTCTCATGGACACTGAGCATTTTCAGATGAGTTCTAAATCAGTTTTTTTTTTAGTCACCATCT